CAGTCTACTAATACTCTAATGAGAGTTTGTTGACATGTAGTTGCAAAGTTACTTATAGTTAGTAGAATGTCTAAAGTGGAAGCCATCAAAATAAAGTGTTACCAAAACTAGAATCAAACTGATGGCTTAATAAATAAAAAGGAAATAACGAGGAGGGGGAGGTGAATATAACCTGTAACCATTGTAACAAATGAGTGTCGGGAAACATATGGAAAAAAGGAAACAGGAACAAAAACACAGGAAACAAGAAAAAGCAAACTAAGAGTCCATGACAAATCAACATAACCCTAACACTTACATATCTATAAAGATTTATTAAAATTAATCAGCCATTAGAAATGAAACATGAAAAAATAACAATTTAAATCAAATCTATTTTGTATTTTTATAATCTTTTAGTGTTAATTTTAGGTTTGTGCTATACCACCTGAGGGTACTCTGCGAACCCCAGTTTGAGAACACCGTTTGTAATCACAGTTAATTTACTGCAGGATTCCCGCTCTAAGCTCAAATGAGTAGTTGACTGTCAAATTCAGATCTCTCTGAGCATTGGATGGGGGAGCGCTCTGACATTTAGTTTTGTTTTTATGACGTGACTCTAAGCTCAGTCTGAGCGTACAGCAGTGAATTGCTGGGGGCGTCAGTTTGATGCTAAACGGCCTGGAAGTGGTTTGTATTGATTTCTGCCTGGATTCACTGTTCTGCTTAGTACTCCATCTATTGATCCCTGGCTCAGATTACACACGCGTAGGGTTAATGGAACTTATTCTCCTGACAGTTCTGTTTTTCACAGCACTTTTTCAGACATTATATATATCTCTGTCACACTGGCCTTAAACATACATATTCACCTCCGCTACAGACCTGGTCGTATAATCCAGCACATATATTTGATGGGGTCAGTGTGTCACATAGTTCGGTTGCCAGATTAGCACATTCACTCCACTGTAATCTCATCGTGTTAACGAGAGAACCAGGAATCTGATGCATATCGATCCAGAAGAAAGCCAATACCGCTATACACTTTCATTGCAACACTGATATAGCTTTCGTCCTCTCATGCATGATGATTCATCTAACATAATTATCATTACGAACCAGTTCTTGTCCTCCTGAGCGGTTAATGCAGCAGTCTAGTGGTGATAAAACACAATATAGAAACATTTATGATGTGAAACACATTTTCATTAGCCATTGCGTAAACTACCGTTCAAATGTTTGAGGTCAGTAAGATTTTCTTTTGAAAGTAAATACTTTTATTCCACAAGGATGCATTATATTAATCAAAAGTCACAGACTTTTGCATTCTGTTCTCTTTTAAATAAATGCTGCTTTTTGAAGTTTCTATTCATAGTTTCTATTCAAAGAATCCTGAAAACCTTTATCCTGGTTCTCACAAAAATATTAAACAGGAACTGTTTTCAATATTAATAATAATAGAAAATGTTTCTTGGGCAGCAAATCAGTATGATTTCTGAAGACATATGATTCACTCCAAGAAATTTTTAATGAGATCCTTAAATAACAAAAAGAAAAAAGGTTTGTTTTAATAAAAATCAGCCTTGGAACATTAAACTGCCTATAAACCCTTTGATGTAAATTTAAATGCTTGATTATTTATTATTAAGTAACTGTATTACAAAAGCAAGAAGGAACATAAATCTGTGCTATCCTGTGAATATAGTTAAAGATAAAGGTCTTAACAATAACCTCTATTTATACAGAACAAGGAACTGCCCCCTCAATGAGGTGCCTCTATGCACTGAAGTGGAACCTGTTAGTTGGATGGTGTTCTTCCCACCGGTAAGACCCCCGAAGATGTCCGATCAGAGTCTTGCTTTCTTTCCTGCTAGATGGGTTGGAGCGAAGGCTGTCTCCCTCCACCCTCAAAGTGTATGTTGCTGCTATCGCCGCACATCACGATACAGTTGAAGGTAAATCATTGGGAAAGCATGAACTGATCGTCAGGTTCGGTCGATGAATTGTGCCTAGAATTCGGGCCGGCCAACTCTTACGTTGTCCTGAGACCCCGGCCTGGATACGTGCCCAAGGTTCCTACCACTCCCTTCAGGGACCAGGTAGTGAACCTGCAAAAGCTGCCTTCGGAGGAGGCAGACCCAGCCCTGGCTTTTCTCTGTCCTGTCCGCTTCTTGCGGTTATACGTGGACAGAACGCAAAGCTTTAGGACCTCAGACCAGCTCTTGTCTGTTACGGAGGCCAGCAGAAGGGAAAGGCTGTCTCCAAGCAGAGGTTAGCCCACTGGATAGTGGATGCTATTGTCTTGGCATACCAGTCCCAAGACATACCTTGCCCGTTCGGGTTGCGAGCACACTCAAGTAGAAGTGTTGCGTCTTCCTGGGCACTGGCTCAAGGTGCCTCGCTGACAGATATATGTAGAGCTGCGGGATGGGCGACACCCAACAAGTTCGCTAGATTCTACTCCCCACTCCCGCCCCGCTGGGCCGGATACATACGTCTATTGCTCCAGTAGTGTTCCCCAGAAATGGCTAACCCTGTTGAGTTCCTCCATCACCCCTGCGGCAGTAGTGTCTGACGCCAGGCCTACACTCGTATGCATTGTGGAACCTGTGCTAGGCTGGGTGTCCATATATAGTGGTCCCTGCGGCGACCCCATATGTATATTCCTCCACAATCAGCTCCTCTGCGGACGAGCCCGTGTCTTTCCCCTCGACAGAGTCCGCTCTGTCGTCTCTGCTGGTGTTCTTTCCCCCCTAGAACTAGGCTGGAACCACCCCAGAGACTGCCATATGTTGTACTACCCTGCTTGGCTAGTCCATATGTGTACCGTAACAGTGCCTCCCTCCGGGGTAGGATGTGGCTTCCGCAGCGTCCCCTTCCCCAAGGGCACGCTTTCCCAGCGTTATCCAACAAGTCACACTGAGTGGGTCTTGCGGAACAGCAGTGACTGACCTTCTCTGCTTAGAGCTCCTACTTTCTACCCAACACTACGGTCAGGCCAGGAGTCTCAAGCGGAGTGCTGGAAGGGCCAGCAGCCGTGGCGTGTTGGTAGATATCCCCAATTCGTCAGTTATGACGTATGGCATAGTGAACTGACAAAGGGGAACGTCTCGTTTACGTATGGTAAGCCTTGTTCCCCGAGGAGGGAACGGAGACGTATGTCCCGTCGCGACAGTTGCTGAGCTTCCACTATACAGCCGAGTCACAAGACCAGCTCCTCAGCGGAAAAACAAAGATGTGACGCAGCAGCTGGTGCAATTATTGCATGCCAATGTGCATTGGCTCGTTTAGTTTACGCTCAAAGTAGTCTCTCAAGCGAGATCCCCAGTTTGTCAGTTATGACGTACATTTATTTTTACTAACCATTAAACTGATGTAAACACACAATTAACAGGCAAATGAACGCGCTGAAACTCTATTGTAATTGTTAGAATTTCAAAGGATCAGCATTCTCCCATAAAAGTGATCAGGCAGATAAGTCGTAAGTCGTAGAGACTTAAAACTTTGAAGGATTGTAGTACTCACATGCAACGTTACCAAGGCTCACCCCGATCAGCCTGATAGGGGGCGCTGCAGCGAACAAAAATGGCTCATAACTCCTACACCATTTGTCGCAAACTCAAGTGTCTTGTATCATTGGAATCCTTAACAAACAATGTCTCTGATTCGATTGTCACCTTGGCGGAATATTTGGGTATTTTGGATTTTCCAGTATGAGATAATTTCTTTAGACTCTGTACTCATGTTTATGGGCAAAAAAATTTGTCACGTGAAAAAAATCGTGGTGATTGGCCACATGGTGGCGCAATAGAGTGAAAAAAATCCCCCACGAAAACGGCTTTATGCAACAGTCAGTCCAATTGACTTGAAAACCGGCATGCGGTGTCTTTGTCCAAGGTGCCACCATGGTCTTCGAGGACATTCACGTATCTCGAAAAACACGGACTCCGTCGGCCCATGAATTTTGAGCAGCTGTCAGACGAGGTTAACGGAGGCTGATCGGAACGAAATTCGCTGGGCCTGTTTGACTCAAGGCCCTAGAGGCTTGTGAGGAATCCGAAAGAAATCGGCCCTCCGGGGGGCGCCTTCACTTTTTTGTCATGCGTAAAGTATTATATATCACACGGTTTTTCATACATACCCGTGACATTCATACCATATGGTAGAACTCATTCTGAGCAACTTTGACTCTAGGACCACCGCTGTCAATGGAACTGTTTGTGAAATATCGGAGATTATTTTAAAAATCTACTTTCACGAACTAGGCTCAACCTCGATAACTGTTAAAAAGCTTTAAAACTACTATATTTCCTTAGTAAATTGCCCGTATTAGCTGTAAATGGTCTTTTCCATGCATGATCTAAGTGGTTACATGTTTGCTAAATAAAACATTATACCTTTTTACAAATGTGATTAAAGGCCTTAAAGCGCTTGAACCCCGATAATTGCTGCTTGCAGCTTTATCACTTATGACAATTGTTTATTTAGATTATAAATCATAATAAATATAATTATTTATTGGTCATTTGAGACTTTCATTATTTGTTGTGACTAACCCACAATCTTTGTAAAATCATGGTGGTGCACGGCTCCTTGTGATTTACTCCTTTATTACACTAATATATGTCCTTGTAAAACATATTGCAGTATCTGTAGTGTAAATGAAGGTTAATAATTGTATTGTACATTATGTTCGTTCCAGTCAATGTGCTGCTAACCGGTTAACCGACTGTGCCGTTATGACGTGTTATATTGATCCACACTCTCATGTTCCCTGCACTCTTCCCGGTAAAGCCGTCCTGCACTCAGTAGCCATCACTCTCACTAACATGCACACAGATTTGGGTCAGCATTTTGTTCAGCTCTCATTATTTATGACATTGTGCTCAGATTCCATCTCCGTGTAATTTATAGATCTTTTTATGTCCTTTTTTCCTCCCCGTTCACTTAAGTTGATTGTTGTCACCTTTGCTAAGAATCCACGCTTAAGTTATTCATTCTGTCTTTTCATCTCTCTGCAGAAGAAACTGGTTCTGACATTCCACACCTCCACACCAGCAGCCTGTAAACATCTGTGGAAATGTGCTGTGGAAAATCAGGCATTTTACAAGTGAGAGCCGTCCTTTTATCTCTCCCTCTCTCTCTCTTACTCACTCTCTCTCTCTCTTCTTCACACTTCGTATGTGTGTCTCTCTAGCATTTGCTTGTGGTTTGGTGTTTTTATACAGCACTATTCAAAGTTTTTTTTTTCTCTCTCTCTTTCTGTTCAATAAACAATCCTGGAAAAAAATGGTTTCCATAAAAATATTAAGCAGCATAACTTTAAAAATTTCAAAATTGATAATATAAAAAATAATTCTTGAGCAGAAAATCATCATCATATTAGAATGATTTCTGAAGGATCATGTGACACTGAAGACTGAGTAATCATGATACTGAAAATTCAGCTTTGAATCACGGGAATAAATTACGTTTTAAATATATTCAAAATTAAAACAATTATTTTAAATAGCATTTTTTTTTTACTATATTACTCGTTTTACTGTAGCATAAGAGACTTTTAAAATCTTAAAAACTTTGGAACAGTGGTGTATGGGTCAATCTCTGAAAATAGTTCTAATGTAATGCTAAAATAATTATATGTATGTATGTATCTATGTACAGTATGTATGTATATGTGTAACCCATGACTTTTCTCTTCATGCCAACCCTGTTAAATACAAAGTCTTTGGGAGTTTTTAGATCAGTGAAAAAAATGTCTGATATAGTACACCACATAATTTACAGTTATTATTTTAGTGATATTTTTAGTAAAAATGTTTCACTTTGATGGACTTCTGTGACAATGTAAGTTACTTAATGAAATATGGAATGTAATTTAAACTTACCTTGGTTTGTTTTTCATGATTTCACTCCTCAAATCAATATTTCTTTTAAAGAATGTCACAACATAACAGAGTTGAACAGAAAGTGCATAAAGCATTTTAGAAGAAAAAAAATACATTGTGAAACCATGAGTTAAAATTCAATGAAACCTATAAATATACATTTTTGAAAATAGATTTTGCATATAATGTGACTAAGTTCTAGATCCTGGTGATTATATCAGTATGAGGTCATGAGGACAAACGCAGCACACGAATGGCGCCGCTTCCTGAGAATGACCCTCATATAAGTGCCTCTGTCTCTTTCTCTGTCTCTGGTTACTATGTGTGAGTGGTGTCACATTACTGTAGAAAGCCCTTTAATTAAGAGCTTTAATGACAGCAGGCCTGCACATATCAAACCAGTACACTGGCAGTTATCCCTGTCTTCATATTAACAACACACACATCAGTCAATCAATGACAAACTGCTCTCATGAGCAGGCCACACAGTATCAGTACACTTTCTACACTGATTATCTGCTCGAAAATCTGCTGAATTATGCTGAATGGATTTATATATAGCAAAAACTGTTAAATGGAAATGAGAATACTGCAGTCTGTTAGCTGGAAGAAACAGCAGGCACAGACTCCGTATGGTCCTGCTTACAGGACATGCAATGTAAGATAAGCTGGTAACAAAGATACACACATTACAAAAAAAATGCAATACACATTTATTTCTAAAGTACATTTAAAAACAGAAAGTCTAAAGTGCTTTACCAAATAAGGTTACATTTTAATAGTCCACTTTAGACATTCTGCTAACTATAAGTAACTTTGCAACAACACGGCCGGCTCGGGACTGACTTTCATTAATTTGCAACTACATTTCAACTAACTTTCATTAGAGTATTAGTAGACTGTTAGGTTTTGGTTATAGTCAGTAGAATTGTTAGTCAGTAGAACAGTTGAGGAGCATCAAAATAAAGTGTTAGCAGATATTAAGAAGATAATTTACTAATACTCTAATGAGAGTTAGTTGACATGTTGCAAATAGCTAGTAGAATGTCTAAAGTGGACTATCAAAAAATATGTTACCAAACATAATACATACTTTTACACCGCATACATACATTCAATAAGATGCATTAACAACACCATTTTCATTGCTCCAAACTACAAAAATAGGTTTTAAGACAGTATAAAGGTCTCAACTTAAGGAGAAAACTTGTAAGAGTGGAAGATAATAAACACATACTTTGTGACTTTTTATCTCACAATTCGGACTTTTTTTCTCACAATTTCGAGTTTAAGCAACGCAATTTCAGTCATAACTAAATGTTATTGCATTTCTCTGATTTATGTGATTTAGATGTGCAAAGTCAAGTCAGATAAAGACTGTGTCCAGCAGCAGTATATTTTTCAAGGGAAGCCGATTTCGCTACAGGTGAGATGATTTGCCTGCATGCGCTATCAACCTCTTACCTGATAAGAGTAAATCATAAGTCAGACATGCTAATATGACTATTGTTTAATCTTATTTCACATTATTTAAGTGGATCAAATGATTGTTTCTGGTTTGATTCCAGTGGTCGGGTGGCTAAAGAAGTGATTGAAGCCAGTTCAAAGATCCAGAGAGAACCTCCTGTTGTACACAGGTCAGCATCCATTTTCAATACTTTTCTTACTGTATCTGATGACACTTCACTCAGACATACTGTTTGTAGGTTAGATGGTTTGGGGGTTATATGGGTTTAAAGGGTCATAATATACACTTAGCTTTTTTTGTATAAAGTCCACTTACTGTATAATCCATGCTTTCTTTGACCATTTTCCATCCTCACGCTGACCCTCACAATTAAACAAATTATATTTTGGATACTGTGTTTTTGAGACGTATGTATGTAATGACCTCTTTTCCCTTGTGGATTTTTTTTTTGTTTACATTTAGCACTTAATATGGAAATAATATTACTTAGGTTCGAACTAAATGTTATGTTTTTGGACATTTTATTGCATGTTATTTGCAATTAAATTAAAATGTATTAAGATGTATTTAATAATTTATAAGTCATTTTAAATAAAACTGTAATCATACATTTGTAATGATAAACTTACAATTTGGTATATTTAAAATATTAACTTTAATTGTAAATTAAAATGTTAAAATTTGTATGATTTGAAGCTAAAACTGTTAATTTGACATTATTACAAAGTGCACCTTTTAAAAGTTTAAGTAGTCCTTTATTTCAGTAGTATTTTACTATACTATCTGCAAGTACAGTTTTAAAAATATACTTTTAAGATTTTAAATACATACGAGTGTAAATTTAATACAATTAAGTACACTTCTCAAGTGTTATATTTAAAATAAGTTATGGAAATAAAGCACTACAAAAATATTTGTATTAGTTAATTGGCTATGTTGATTTCTGATTGATCTGCCCTGCATTTCTCAAAAGCATCGTGATAAGTTAATCATAGAGACTAATGGTGGCAACAATCTACTTAGGCTTACGATGCTCATGATGCTTATGATGCCTTGAATTTTGAACATGACATGTATAGTCAAACTATTTTATTTAAAAAACTATGTTTTATGAAATGTTGTCTTTCTGTGTCTGCTTCTGTGGGTGTTTCAGATCTCAGTTTGGCCAAAGCAGAAGCTTTACTTCACTCAGTCATAAACAGCTCATAATGAACATGGAGCCCCTCCTACCAGCACTGAGCTCCAGCAGGGAAAACAGAGACTCCTCAGCAGACATTGGTAACACACACACACACACACACACACACACACACACCTGCATGCATACACACCTTAAAGGGATACTCCACCAGTTTTTCTTATTAAACTATGTTATTCCCTTAACTAAGACGAGTTGATACATACCTCTCTCGTCTCAGTGCGTGCACTATATCGCTCTGTATTGCCGCAAAACTATGTTAGCACTTAGCTTAGCCCATGCATTAAATATGGGCCAAGCAGAGAAGCGACCAAACACTTCCACGTTTTCCCTATGTAAACACAGTTACTCGAGTAGTGTAACTTGACCTGGGCTGGTGACACAAAATAAACCGTTGCGCTTTTCTAAGCGTTTAAAATTGATGACTATATTGTATGGCGGAATACCATAACAAGTGCTTTTGAGCACTTCGACTTGGCGCAATAATATCTTCACTTGTGAAAAGTCCTCTTACCGGCTCCCGCTTCCTCTCCCCCTCCCTCTGACATTTCCGTCAATACAACCATCGTGACTTTTACTACCTGTGCTATTAGCAAACTGCAGATCATTTGCAATGGCGGACTTTGTAGATGATTATGACTTCTTTGTAGAAGACCCAGGCCAGAGCCATATCTGTTTGAACCCGAGTACACGGAGGAGGAATTAGCTCTTATGGACCGTGAGAGGCAAGAAAGATATGATCCAGAACAGACCGGAGCTGGCGAAAGACCACGGGCTTTCTGTAAGTGATCTGAATATTGTTGGTGTAGCCTCATCCTTTAGGCGTGTTCCTGTGCAGGTATAGTCCTCCTTTGTGAAATGTTCGGAGCAAACACGCCACTTCTTCAGAGTCATCAATGGTGTTTTGGGATTCTTGTTCAAAGCAGCTAACCAAGCTCTCCGCTGTATGTGGTGTGTTGGAATTCGGTGAAAAATGACAGCAATACATTCTCCTTATTTTCACAACCCTTTACGATGCACGCTTTAACCATTATTGTACACAAACTAGCTTCCAAAAACCTGTTACTTCGTCAACTCCGCTCGAACTACTACTACCGGCGCATGTCACGTTGGTTGTATTGACGGAAATGTCAGAGGGAGGGGGAGAGGAAGCGGGAGCCGGTAAGAGGACTTTTCACAAGTGAAGATGTTATTGCGCCAAGTCGAAGTGCTCAAAAGCACTTGTTATGGTATTCCGCCATACAATATAGTCATCAATTTTAAACGCTTAGAAAAGCGCAACGGTTTATTTTGTGTCACCAGCCCAGGTCAAGTTACACTACTCGAGTAACTGTGTTTACATAGGGAAAACGTGGAAGTGTTTGGTCGCTTCTCTGCTTGGCCCATATTTAATGCATGGGCTAAGCTAAGTGCTAACATAGTTTTGCGTGTCACGGTACGGTTACCAAAAGTGAAGGAGAGGACTCAAGTGCAGCATAAGGGGTATATTTATTAACAAAACACAAAACAAAAACCCACGAGCGGGAAAACATAAAAGATAAAGCATAAAACAGAACCAAACTAGAAAACCAACCTGACAAGGAACAACATAAGCATGACAAGGAAAACCGGGGAAACATAAAGCAAAGATCCGACAAAGACTGCATACAAGGGGAGACTTATAAAGGGAACAAATCAAGAGGGAAACAGGTGGTTGAACTCAAACAATAATCAGGTAACGAGGGGGAGGGATCAGACAATGACATGAGCACATGGCCCAACATAACAAACACCCAAGTGTCACACAGGACAGGACAGACACGTGACACTACCCCCTCTCTACGGAGCGGCTACCAGACGCTCCATCCGGTGGCACGGGAGGGACACACCAGGGGGGCACGGGAGAGACAGGAACATAGGGCGGCCAGGGCGGTGAAGAGCCCTCGGGCGGCCAGGGCGGTGAAGAGCCCTCGGGCGGCCAGGGCGGTGAAGAGCCCTCGGGCGGCCAGGGCGGTGAAGAGCCCTCGGGCGGCCAGGGCGGTGAAGAGCCCTCGGGCGGCCAGGGCGGTGAAGAGCCCTCGGGCGGCCAGGGCGGAGACGGCCCATCGGGCGGCCAGGGCGGTGGAACAGGAGCAACCACCGGCTCAGGAACTGCAGCAGGCACCGGCTCAGGAACTGCAGCAGGCACCGGCTCAGGAACTGCAGCAGGCACCGGCTCGGGAACTGCAGCAGGCACCGGCTCGGGAACTGCAGCAGGCACCGGCTCGGGAACTGCAGCAGGCACCGGCTCGGGAACTGCAGCAGGCACCGCCTCGGGAACTGCAGCAGGCACCGGCTCGGGAGCAGCAGCAGGCACCGGCTCGGGAGCAGCAGCAGGCACCGGCTCGGGAGCAGCAGCAGGCACCGGCTCGGGAGCAGCAGCAGGCACCGGCTCGGGAGCAGCAGCAGGCACCGGCTCGGGAGCAGCAGCAGGCACCGGCTCGGGAGCAGCAGCAGGCACCGGCTCGGGAGCAGCAGCAGGCACCGGCTCGGGAGCAGCAGCAGGCACCGGCTCGGGAGCAGCAGCAGGCACCGGCTCGGGAGCAGCAGCAGGCACCGGCTCGGGAGCAGCAGCAGGCACCGGCTCGGGAGCAGCAGCAGGCACCGGCTCGGGAGCAGCAACAGGCACCGGCTCGGGAGCAGCAACAGGCACCGGCTCGGGAGCAGCAACAGGCACCAGCTCGGGAACAGACACCGGCTCGGGAACAGACACCGGCTCGGGAACAGACACCGGCTCGGGAACAGACACCGGCTCGGGAACAGACACCGGCTCGGGAACAGACACCGGCTCGGGAACAGACACCGGCTCGGGAACAGACACCGGCTCGGGAACAGACACCGGCTCGGGAACAGACACCGGCTCGGGAACAGACACCGGCTCGGGAACAGACACCGGCTCGGGAACAGACACCGGCTCGGGAACAGACACCGGCTCGGGAACAGACACCGGCTCGGGAACAGACACCGGCTCGGGAACAGACACCGGCTCGGGAACAGACACCGGCTCGGGAACAGACACTAGAACAAACACAGTCGCAAAGACAGACACAAACACAGACACAAAAACTGGGTCAGGCTCAGGAACAGGCACTGGCTCTGCCTCCGGCTCTGGAACGAGCACCGGCTCCGCCTCCGGCTCAGGAACGGGCACCGGCTCAGGAACGGGCACCGGCTCCGGCTCCGGCTCAGGAACGGGCACTGACTGTTCCACTGGCTCAGCCTCCGGCTCGGAAACGGGCACTGGCTTTGCCTCCGGGTCAGAACCCGCAGACACTGGCTCTGCCTCCGGCTCAGGAACGGCTGAGACTGGCATATCCAATATCCGAGCCAGACGCTCCAGGTAGTCCCCGTTCAGGAAGGCAGAGGAAACAGGGACAGTCTCTCGCTGTGCAGACGGGACGGGGACAGTCTCTCGCTGGGCAGACGGGACGTGAACAGTCTCTCGCTGGGCAGACGGGACGGGAACAGTCTCTCGCTGGGCAGACGGGATGGGAACGGTCTCTCGCTGGGCAGTCGGGACGGGAACAGTCTCTCGCTGGGCAGACGGGACGGGAACAGTCTCTCGCTGGGCAGACGGGACGTGAACAGTCTCTCGCTGGGCAGACGGGACGTGAACGGTCTCTCCCTGGGCAGACGGGACGTGAACAGTCTCTCGCTGGGCAGACGGAACGGGAACAGTCACTCGCTGGGCAGACGGGACGTGAACAGTCTCTTGCTGGGCAGACGGGCCTTTCCTCCTTCTCCGTCCGCGACGGCGAGAAGCAGGTCTCGAATTGTCCCCATGGACCGATGAAAATTTGGTTGAGCAAAACGTAGCGATGAAGTAGTCCGGGCAATCCAAATACTCGTCATCCATGTGATGATCAACCAGATTCGCCCAGTAAGACTCCTCGTCCTCCATGCTGCTGAGTCCCTTAGTGGTCGGATCTTTCTGTCACGGTACGGTTACCAAAAGTGAAGGAGAGGACTCAAGTGCAGCATAAGGGGTATATTTATTAACAAAACACAAAACAAAAACCCACGAGCGGGAAAACATAAAAGATAAAGCATAAAACAGAACCAAACTAAAAAACCAACCTGACAAGGAACAACATAAGCATGACAAGGAAAACCGGGGAAACATAAAGCAAAGATCCGACAAAGACTGCATACAAGGGGAGACTTATAAAGGGAACAAATCAAGAGGGAAACAGGTGGTTGAACTCAAACAATAATCAGGTAACGAGGGGGAGGGATCAGACAATGACATGAGCACATGGCCCAACATAACAAACACCCAAGTGTCACACAGGACAGGACAGACACGTGACATTGCGGCAATACAGAGCGATATAGTGCACGCACTGAGACGAGAGAGGTATGTATCAACTCGTCTTAGTTAAGGGAATAACATAGTTTAATAAGAAAAACTGGTGGAGTATCCCTTTAAAGATAAACCCCTCCAACTGTAAAAAACTTGGACCCCTGAAATGAAAATGAATAAAAAAAACTAACAAATGATTATGATCATTTATGATTATGACTTCTGATTAAAATGTTGTTCATTCACATGAGCTGGCCATATTAATATACTAGAAAAATATGTTTTTATTCTACAAGAGGGTGATTGATTGATCTGGTATAATGAAGAGCAAAGATATGACGTACCAAAAGCAGATCAGTCAGAACCTTCGTCTTTGGGTGAGAGAGTTGGACATTAAGAAAGGCCGATAAAAGGAAAATCAATGCATTCGAAATGTGGAGCTGGTGGAAATTGTTACGAATACCATGGATAGCCAGGAAAACAAACTGACTGACTTTGGCCACATACGGGTGCAAACTTAGAAGTCAGTAAAGTTGGGAATGGTCAGTAGTATCAGAAGAAGGGGACGGCAACAAACATGCTGGCTCGACACCATCAAATCGGACACCAATATGAACATTAAACAGTTGAAAAAAGCAGAGCTCAATGGCATGGAGAATGCTTGTCCATAAGGTCGCCGAGAGTCAGATACGACTGAATGCGTAGATCATCACTTTTGAGAGAAATAGCTAAGTCAGGTGTGGATGAACAACATCTGAA